AAGCTCTTCCCCCTGTGATCCCTCACGCGGGTACTAAGCCGGGGGCACTGGCTCGGAGAAAGGGCTTGGGGTGCGGGGTGGCCGAACCAAACACGCACACACGCACCGGCAGCAGGACTAAGGGAAAAAGCACGCTCAGCTGATCCCCTTATATGGCTGCGCAAGCTCAATCAGTATTCCCTTGGCGTGTGGGGCGGTGCCTGTAACTGAAGGCACCACCCTCGACCAGAAGGGGTATGTTTTGACATTGCAAAGGTTGGCTATTTAGGAATGGTGTCGGCTCAGTCGTCAGACGACACCTTCCAGGGTCTAGCAAAGTTTTGCATTCGTCAGGGAAGGATCTGGTTTCACATGCAGTGTGCGGATGATAAGGATGCACGTTTTGCTCGCGCACACACACACACACACGGCACACAAGCGAGGGGGAGGTTTTGGTTCAGGGTGTAGGTCAGTGTAGGTGTCGAGTTTTGTCGAGGTATGTGGTGCACCACTTTGACCAGATGCTGCCGCAGAGGATTGCTCCAGATTTGTATTGCCTCTTTGCTTGACTTGATTGGCACTGGCCACGCACAGTCGTTTGATAATTCCAGAGCCACAGATCCAATCAGATGAGGTCTTTTTCGTGAGACCATGACTTAATGCATGACATCGTACCGTGCGCTAGGGGTACGATCTTTGAGACTTTTTTCCGAATCTGTATTGAGGTCCACGGAGTCATTTTGAATCTGAGGTTGCCTTGGACATGAATGAAACCATGCCATCCTAAATCTTAGCAAAAACGCTTGCTCCTAAGCCCACAAAGTTGTTTCAGGTGGGCCCCAGGAATCGCGGTGTAGTGTAGTCTCGCGTGTTCCCCACGGTGCGACTCAGTCGGTCAAGTGGGGCGGAAAAGGCCTGAACCCTAAACCTAGCCGACCTGTGGATCCTTGCCTACCTTGTGCGAGGTTACGGGCTCGCAATGGATGCTTGGGCCGAAGGTGGCCATTGGTTGCAGAGCCTGGCCATTTTTGACAGCATCGGAAGTCACACCGTGCCTGATATTTATTGGGCTGACGGTGCATTGCGGGTATCAGGAGGAGAGATTCAGACAGAGGAGAGGCAGGGGAAAGGAAGAGAAGATACTGAAGCCGAGGTGCCGGATGCGGTCTGCTTTGGCACAGCCATCCGGGCTACTTGGTCCTGCGTGGAATCGCTTGAGGATACCAGAGCTGACATTTTTGGATTCGCGGCTTTTGCCTTAAGGTTTGGGAAGTAGGGGTTGCAGGACTGAGGCTGGCAGTCCGGCACCGTCGAAAGATAAGCGCTTTGCGTTTTTGTCAGATACTTCGGCTTCCACGGCTGCGCCACTGAAGGCCCACATCACTGCAGCCAGGTTGGGCCAGCCTACACAGAGTGCGGGTTTTCAGCAGCCGAAGGGCCATGGACACATTCAACCGCCTTAGATTGTTGCATAGCTGGGAATAGCGACTTTTCGTGAAGGTCGGCTCGCCAACAAATGGCTCCCTGTTTTATGATATGGTTCCTGTTTCCGTAGGTTCGGAAACAGGCTAAAGTAGTAGTGAACGCTTCTGCGTGGCTGCTTCGAGCCGCCTGAGACCTGAGACGGGTCATCATCGGTAGTCTTGATCCTGTAGGGTTTACGGTTTAGAGGTGTGCAGTTGCACAGTCGTTCTAACCATCGTAGTCATCATCCTCGCCGTCACCACGACCAGCATTTGCAGCAACCCCCCCGACATACGACTATGAATTGAAAACAGCAACATCACTTGCATTTGTCACAGCAATCCAAACACGAAATTTCCATGTTATGTAAGGTTTTCGATCGTCAGAGGAATATAGCCCGAGAAGAACCCTTAAACTCGCAACCCCCAAACAGTAAGCCTAAACTAAACCTTTAACCCATCCTTTGAGCTTCTCCCTTACATCCAAAACTCTCGCCCTAGTAACCCTTGAAGAAACCCTTAAGGAGCCCTGCGCCCTGAAACCCCCGAGGTGTGTCAGAAGGCGGCTGACTGGGAGGCTGCGTGCGACCTTCTCAGCGCTATGGCCCCCGCAGGACTTGGATCCTGCAACGGTTATTGAAGGAGTTTTAGGGTTTAGGGTTTAGGTTGCTATGAGGCTTATTAAAGAGGGTTTAGGGTTTAGTTCTGAGGGTGGCAAAATTGGCTAGTAGAAGGGTTGCCAATGATAACGGTTACAAGAAGGGCTACCAGAAGGGTTACTAGGCTTTGCCAGAAGTGTGCTTCAGGCTTGCGCTTCTTGGGGCTATGTTGGATGTCATCTCTTCAACGAATACGAGCTGTAGGTAGGTAGGATCAAGGCAATGTGCACTGCAGCCCCTGCTCAAAGAAAAGGTTAGGCGTTTTTGTTCCGTCACGCTAGGGTTAGAGACTGGGATGAGAAGGGCTTGGGCTTCGGGTGCCTACATCTGTGAGCTTTGGAGTCCTCGGTTTCAGTGGACATTAATAGCCACATCTGGGCCCTGATGGTTTGGATGTTGCATTTAGGGTTTGCGTGGCGAAGGTTGATGCATGAGAATATGGTTCCACAGTGCTGGCGACTTGGTGATGTTGCAGAGCTCCACGCTGTCACAATGGTGTTATCCACATTATCAGCCCGGGGCCTTACTAGGATCAAGGCCAAGGAGAACGCCGACACCGTGCCTGGCCCCTTATAAACCCAAGCCCCAAAACCCCTGAACCCTAAACCCCAAAACCCCAAACCCGTAAGCCCTAAACCCTAATCCTCCTCGCCTGGCTTGTCCGAGTTGTGAGAGCGCAAACCCTAAACCCTGAACCCTAAAACCTTAAACCCTAAAGCCGGAAGGATTCAAGCCGGACACAGTCTCGCTTGGAGCAGCGCCGCCGGGCATCGAATGGGAAAGATTTCCCAGCCTTCAGAGGGATTAGAGTTTACTCTTGCCCAGGTTCCCCAGTAGTACCCTTTTTCCCTTCTTCTTGTTGGGTTCCTTTATGAAAACCAAAGAGTAGGAAAAAGGGTACCCTGGTTATTAAGGGGCTACTCGGGAACCTAGTTGCCGTGAAGTAGCGCATAGGCGGAAAATGTCGCAATTCGAGGGCAGCGTAATTAGTATTACGATTGGCTGCTGGAGCCCGGCTGGAGGACTTTTCATATTTTTCTTCCCCACGCCCCCACCGTCTGGGGCGGCCAAACCACCCAAACCTATTCTTTTTAGGGTTTAGCTCGAAACTCATTCTCAGTGCCTTGAGTTTATGTAGGGTTTAGGGGACTCGCAAAGGTTACCAGAAGGGTTACTAAAAGACTAAGACTATAAATCTGAACCCTGCGACGCTGAACCGTTTGAGGATGTCCGCCTGTGCTGCCGCTGACGCCTGGGGGTCGGCGCTGCACCTGCTGTCGACCATGTCTGCAGAGGTCCTTCGCATTGCAAGGAGTCGGGGGTTATGGCCCGTTTTTGTCGCACAGTCATGTTACATTCGGGCTCGGGAGGTGCCTGATATGGGACGGTAGCAATCGAAAATCAGGAACCCAGAGCTAGACATGCCGCGAAAGAAGAGCCCCGGATCACTGGTCCCGGGGGCCTGGCACTTAATTAGATACTGCCACTGTGCTAAAGCTTGGCTTGTCAGTGTTTTTGGAATGGCGTTTCGGGGCTTGGTGAGTTTAGGGCTGAAGATCATGTTGTGCTTTCGGCTCTTCTTTTCATAAATTTCGAGCCATCAGCTCCAGCCCAGACTGACAGAGCCTCCCAATGTTTCCGAAAGCGTCGACCCCGGGATTCGAGCCAAAGCGTGAGCCTTAACGAAACCGCTGGTGAGCTTTCACATTGATGCCAACCACGAGACTTTCTGTTATAATTATTGCCATTACATTTATCATTATTATCAGTACTATCAATTATCACATGTTTATTATTATTATGGTTACTACGATTAGCAACTTGGAGTTTCTGCTCTCTCAAACTTCGAAAGCATTAAGTCAGAAGAGCATCAGACCGGAAAGTGCATGAGCCCAAAACCCTGAAGCCCGAGACTCACCCCAAACTCTTGGCTGTTCTAACCGTATATGCTCTAAACTTGCGGTTTGGGTTCAGGGTTTGGGGTTTACCGACCCTGAACCAGCCTGCAATGCGGGCTCGTCCTTGCGAAGTATGAGACCAAAGAACCTTTAGACACCCTAAACCCAAATCCCTAAACCCCTCATCTCTGTGGGACTAAGGCCATGGAGCCCGATTTGATCTGCTTCAACGTGGCCATCAGTGCATGCGAAGCTCGCCTCCCGATGTGGCCGCAGGGTTTGGGTCTTCTAAAATCCATGCCTGCATAACTACCCGTAGGCCCCGTAGTAGTTCCTGTTTGCGGCGTATATTTAGGATCCTATTAGGTAATCCCAAAAAGGAACTACTATGGGGCCTATGGGTAGGATAGGGTTTTGAAAAAGGGGTATCTTGGTACTGGAGCTAAAGCCAGGACCCCGAGAAGCTTCTGAGGGTTCTTCTATGTGGCACGGGGGGTTTAAAACTCAGGGACTCCTGGTGTTTGGGGCTCAGGTCTCCTGGGATTCTGGCTTCAGGTCTCCCTGGGCTCAAGATTTCAAGACTTCCCTACAGAGTGGTAAGCCCTAAACCTACAAAACCCTTGCACACCCTTCTGGAAATCGTTGGGTGTAGGTGTAAGGTCCGGCTCGGTGAATTTGTCTTCCTGCCTCCGCTTTTAAAGTTTGTATCGTCCACATGATTTGTGGCTTGCGGTCTGAGGCTAGGGCAAATCTCATCATTCAGCCAGCAGTATCTTCAGCTCTCAAGCACGATTGTGACACTAACAAACATGTTCATGGACGGATGGGGCTCATGCTGTAGCCCACAGTTTCTGCACTGTGATATCTCAGGAGATGGCTGGAAGGTGGCAGACAGCCCTGGCGCTACTGGACGACCTGGGCAAGAACTGCAACCCGACGGCCACGAGCTTCAATGCCGCCATTACCGCCTGTGGCAAGGGCGGGGAGTGGCAGCGGGCTCTAAGCCTGCTGTCCTCCATGCATGACGCAGCCGTGCTGCCCGATAGAATCAGCTTGAATGCGGCCATCAGTGCCTGCGACAATGGTGGCTTAGTGGCTGAGTAGGTAACCTTTAACCTTTTGGGGTTTATATGATCCTACCATAACCGAAAAGGTTAACCTTTTTGGGGCTAGGGTACTCAGCCCCTAAGGTGGAATGTGGCCAGCTGCCCTCCACCTCTTGTTCAGCCTGCGCGGCCAGATGCAAGATCCCGACCACATTAGTTTCTTGCCTGGCAAACCCGGAAGCTGCTCTCGAATCTAGGGGCCTAAGCAATATTATCTATACTACTTTGGGGGGTTTCCTTATTATCACTATAGTATAATTATACCCCAAAACCCTATTCGAATGATTAAGGTCCCTACAGTAGTAAGGGATAGCCGCAGGGACCAGAACTTGGGTCAGCAGCAACCGATACTCAGTGGGTGCCATTGCATTCGAACGATTGTGGGCCTGGGCCGTTCTGCAGTGTCAAAGATGAAGTCCTGAAGTATTGTCATATTCCTCTTCCAACAACAGCCTGCACCTGCACTTCATAGTTGCATCGATGGGGAGCCTGAAGCACTGAACATACATGTACGAGTCTAGAGGACG